TGGCATTGTGTGAGGCATTTTGGCCATGCTGTTTCAGAAGAAACTGCACATGGGTGTCAGAATGATGTGCTTGTTTGCCAGATCCCAGGCCGTGCAGTAGCCTGACAAGGAACTGGCGTTGATTATCAGGCATGGAGTGTGGAGTGCACTTCCACACAGATAGCATACTTGAGCTCAACGATGTGAGCAATTGCAGTCCCAAACGACCGTGCATCGCAGATTTAGGTAGTTTTACACTGATGTGTTTTGGAGCAGCAAAATTGTATTACCACAACGCAATTGTGGCACAGTGAAAGTAAAAGTGAATACATCGACAACCAAAAGACACCTGATGCAATATGTGCCTTCCCTGGCATGGAGCCACCGCTTGGGAGTGTAAGGAATCATCTAGTGTTCAAAGAGCCATGCAGAATGGCAGTGCTGCTGGAGTGTTGGCATAGCTCAGCATCCCAGGAAATGAACTCAGAAACTGACCCATGAACCAGCTATGCACATATTTCATGACCCTGAACCCATGGGCCCCTGGACTGCGAAACTGAGGCACACTGGCATCAGAATATTGCCTCTTTTCAACATGCACTGAAAGCAAGATGCCATTTGCAATTCATAGCATTGTCTTGTGAGCTTTTGTTGGAATGCGTATTCCATTGTCAGAAAATTGGCTTTCAAGAACTGGAGCGTGACTCGATGCCTGTGCCATTTCCTCAACCTGTGCCAGACACATGGACTATGGAGGTTCCTCTTTTCAACTAGGGCTTGGTGCTAGTTGCAGCCTCTGTGGTGTGCCATTAGTGTTGTGTTTGTTCACAGTGTGGTGGGTTTTAAACAGCAGAATGCTTTGCTTCTCTAGCCCTTGCTACCAACTCCCCAGTTCTCACACAGTCTCAAGTTTGGCGACTAGCTGGGGCCAGTCCTGGCCACCTGGCACAAAGGCAAAGGCCGACGAAACGTCTGCCTCTGCATGGTGCTGTGCCACGCTGAGCACGGTGTGGTATGCAGGTGTCGTTGGATGCCGTGCTGGCAGAGCAGGCGTACATGCTCTTCTACATAAAGAGCGAGTCTCAGCACCAGAAGAAAGGAGTGAATGCCATGGGAAAGAAAAATCCACATAGCAGTTTGAACGGCAGAATCCCGTTCGTGCAAAAATCGCAGCCCTCACCTTGTGCTGGTGCCAAAGGTCCTGTGATAGTTCCCCCGAAGCAGCCTGTTCCGCCATTTGCCCCAGTTGCCGATATCCATTCCAGTGAAATCAAGGGCCCAAGGTCTACATCTTGGAAACCCAATCTGGAAACAAAGGCACCTATGGCCAGGAATGCTGTTGGAAGCCCACGTACGATGCCCTCGCAAAATGGTTCGCCTACAAGGACTGCTGATGGGCTTTCCAGGTGTGAATACCCTAGATGCAATGGCACTGGTTTGATTTCTGCTGAGCACCAGCCGGCGGCGGCGATTGGCCCGGCCTCTGCCTCTTCAGACAAGGAGCCCACAGTGTGCACACCCCCAGTGATGGATCACAACTCCAAGGCAAAGCCACAACGGAGGAATGCAGGCCGAGGGCAGCTGAGAACAAGCCCCCCCCTAGGTGTCCGCAACATGCACAAGAAGAAGAAGAGTCCCAGGTGAGGCAGCAGCTGTGGAGTGTTGTATGTGCCAGTGGTGTCTCGCTGCATTCATTTGGTAGGAGCTGTTTGTGGCCTCAAGAGTGGATGAGCTTTTTGTCAGTTGTCAGTTAACAGAAGCTTATCAGCGCATTGCGCTAGGCCACAGCATTGCTGCCTGAACGGCACCTGCACTATCCAGGTCTACTAAGAACACATGGGTGCATACAACTTGTGTCCCATTAATGTTGTTCTGTTTGTCGAAGTGGATTCTGAGCTTTTCTTTGTCTGTGCTATTATAGTGTCCAATTTAGGTGGGCGCTCTATGGAAAGCACGTGTTGCAGAGACTTATCAGCTACCGTCCCAAGAGCATAATGGGCCAGAAGACGTCACAATTCTGCGCGATACTTCGGCAATTTATTGATCCCCTTACGCCGGAGTCACCACACCAAGAAAATGGGGACACAGTGCCCGGCACACCAGGGAAGAAGTCCACAGCACTTTCAGTGAATGTGAATGAAGGCGGCTTTCTAAGGTGAGTAGTGAAAGCTCACAACAGTCAGCTGAGCTGTTGGCGAAGTGTAACTGTGATGTAGGCTGCTGACATTTTCCAAACAACTTGGCACTTGAAAAGCTGTTGATGTATGCTGTTTTGTGGGACTGCAGTGCTGGGGCATCTTCAAATTCACCGGGCTTGGGTCGGCAACACACTCGATGCAGATCAGAGGCAGCTAACCCAGGGCACAATCCCCATGGATTGGAGAATGGTGCATCAACGTCTGTACCTGTCGCCCTTGCGACAAGCAATGGCAGTCAGGCTGGCAGTCAACAGACCTCAGATCCAGCTGGACTGCCAAGGCAAGGAAATGGTGCCGATGTCAATCATTGGCACTGCAAGCAAAAGGCAGGCAGTAGCGCCATCCCTGAAGAGGTCACCCGTGACAGCGATGGGACATCCTTTGGTGGCACACTCTTGGCTGTGAATCCAGGAACACCCCACCCTGAGCGATTGCGAACTGGCCAAATTCAGGGGAATGGGAAGGTGGGCGGAGCTAGATTGACCACTGCAAAGCGCAAAAGGGATGAAGTCAGCCACCCGTGCTCAACCTCCTCACCCTATGAGGCTATCACAAACATCTGTACCCCGTCCAGCCAGGATCGGGAAGCCAAGGCGAATGGCAGCTTCCAGGGAACCGATGCGTTTGCACCAGGGAAGCTGGCAACCAGGCCTTCTCAAGCAGAACCATGTGGTTCTGAGGTGCGGCAGACCTCGAGTTCAGGCGTCTGGGCCCCAGGCTCCAAAGGGCTTTATGGGGTGCCAGTCTCGGCTTGGGACACAGTCGAAGACGCAGATGTGGAAATGGCCACCACATTGAGCAGGTAAGTATGCATGCTTTTTTTCCAGTGTGTCCACTTGCCAGCTCAGACCCTTGTCTGATCGGTAGTAGGTCGTGCGTTTGTGCCTGGTTCAGGAGGTGTGGTCCTGTTGCATGGTGTGTTGCAGAATCTGTGAAGAAGGCATTGACGACCTTCCTGAAACATAAGTATCTGGAGTGCTGTCTTGATGCATGCCGCATGGACGTTGGCATGTTGTCTTCGATGATGAACATACAGACACTAGCATCGAAATAAGTTGCCTTCGCCTGAGGACCTCGATGTGCATCAGTGGTGACACGTTGCATCCCACCGCATCATTCCCTGGGACAATTGCCGGGACACGATGAGTTACTGCCTTTTTTCCTTGACGACGATGAAATATCAATTTGTCCCTTGTACATTGTCTCCAGTTGTAGGAATTACAGCAAATATTTTTCTGGCACGAAACAGAGCAAGACTTGTCTGCAGAATTCGTCGATGATGGGTGCTTGTAACCACAGTCACCTCGTCTCAACGATTCGTTCATTTTGTATCTGAAAGGACCGAGAACTGAATCCAGATTTTGTGCAAAGGGGATTACATTTCGTAGCCAGGCAATTACAGACTTGTCGTTCCCGTTGTACATGTTGGCACCAGCAAAGGTAGCCACTGAGGGTAGTGTTGACCCTGCTATGCTTTCAGTTTATCAGCCCCGGCTAGGAAAAAGCTTGACGTCTATGACGAGGAGTACGACAGAGGCAAGACCAAGAAGGTGAAGAAACAACGCATAACAGATGGTGGAAACATGAATGTGTTCCAAACGCATTTCGACCAGAGGAGGAAGTCTAAAGGCTGAGCAGCATGGACTGTGAGACGACCGGGGTGGGCTAGAATCGTTTGTTTGGGCATGCATGCTGGTCTGGCAGACCTTGGATTTTTTTCCAAAGGGTGGGTGAAAGGGCAGACGGCACGTCCACAAGAAAGAGAAGAAAAGAAGGCAGTAGAGGGGGGTTGCAGGTTGGGTTGACGGCCTTGAAGCGATAGGGCGGCCTGTAGTAGTTTGTGAATTGGTAGCGAATGAGTCAGATTGCAGGCCGCAAGCAGCAAAGAAAAATGATGTCGTGTGCATGCATGCAATGTGCACCGTGCACGACTAGTTGCAACCATGTATATTTGTTCATCGCGAGACACCAGTTCGCATCTACCAGAACTGTTCTCCTTCGGCTCAGGATATGACAACATCTGCCCCCTTGTTGGTCTAGCAGCAACCTGCTATCCACCCATATGATTGTCAGCGCCCTAGTGTCCTGATGCGACTATTCTGATATGAGGCGATGGAAACGCAGAACAGAGCTTTTGCACAACAGCATCCCTAAGCACAAGCCGTTTCTTTAGAACTGTCTACCATTGCCACAAGCGGCTCTGATCTTTTCAACTGATAAACAAATGGAGGGATGACAGGAGGCCAGCCCTCCTGCACAGCACAACAAGCACCCCAAAGCATCGACCCCATGAGCTGCGCCATCAGCTGACCCCACCAATCAAAGGTTGCCAGCCACGGGAGCTGCTGCAGGCAGCAGCACCTCCCAACCCTCGCAAATGTCTGCTGGCTCGTCTACAGTACCGACGACCATAGGATATTGTCCAGCACCACTCGAACGACGATGAGCACGTACCACAACACTCGAATATGCTTGGCAGCAGCGTCCAACCCAACAGGTGGCGAACACCAGAGTGTCCAAGGCCTCACCCATGCAGTCCCCAACACGTTAGGACTGTGTGCGCGTGCCAGCATGGCACCATGCGAGACCGTCGAAGGTAAGGCCCGTTTTGAGGTTGAAAAGGCTTCAAGATTCGCCTGCTTCTCTTTGCGTGTCTGTCGCCTCTGACCACCGCAAAGACCACGACTCACCAGCACTTAGCCTTTGCTAAGTCCGTGCTTCTCTGCGTATTCGTTGATTTCTTCCGGTGTCATGCCCTGTGAACATCCATGAACTTGAATTTGGAAGGCAACAGTGAGGTTGAGCAACTCAAGGGTGGCACCCTCCGCCTCACAGAGCTACTTATGTGCTTACTGCGTTCAGAGACACAACTGTCAACAATTGGCAAACCAATAGCGACTTGGGAGACCAGTAAAGCAGCCCTGACAAAGTAACAAAGTTCTTGCTTTGGGCCTCCATTGCTGGTCACATACCAGAGGGAAGGGGGAGGGGCATGAAATCCTAACAGCACCGATATTGACTTTGTACAGTTCTGTGCAGGTGCAACATACAATGGGAAAGCGATCGTGGAACACATGGGAGCTCGATGGTACCCTACAGGGCACAGCAGTTTGGGTCAATTTATTTGCAGGCGTCACCCCTCCACCCACTTTCGTATGGAGCACGAAAGGCATCCTGCCTCATCATTGGCTTCACACTCGTGGATCTACACATATTTCGCTGAGCTGACAATGTAAAATTCCCCACATCGCTTTAAGAGTCATGGCCACAACATTATCGCTTCAGCATTGTGTCTTCATGATGATAGAAAACTTGTTGCACGCCTGTACCTCATAAGGATCATCTTCAGACGCCCCCGTCATCTTCTCCACTACTGCCTGTATCTCCTTTGGTGTCAAGCCCTCAAAGGGGTCATCGCCATCGACGAAGCTCTTACCAGCCAATGCCGCGCGCGCCGATTCACGCTTGCGTTCTTCTGCCTCTTCATCAACCTGACACCGCAGACTGTTGTGTTGAGCAAAGGCGGGAGGCCGCATGCAACCATACACAGGAGAGTGCATGGCATCCACACTTGCTCAAGATTCCAGAGCATTTGTTCTAAGAACGCCGATGACCTGTCCTGTCCATGCAAATTCAGTCCACAGTGTGGCATCACAGCACAATGCAGACACCTTGCAGGTGCTTCTTGCATCGCTGTTTGATGCGCATGCTGCCTTACTTGCTGACATCTGATTGGTTGAATGCCCAAAATGAACACACATGCACATCGGACCAACAGGCTTCACATGGGAGAAAACGGCCAGAAAGCAGCAGTGCAGCGTGTCCAAAAATGTCCAACACAACACAGAATGGAGGACCGCAGGCCTTGGCGTCCATTGGCAACTACTAACAGGCGGTGCAGCTGGTAGTAATCAGGTACAGCAACATTAACGAACTGCAACGTGCAGCTACCTCCTCTTTTTTGGTCCATGACTTGGAAGTATTGAACAGCATCAGGGCGACTGCAAGAGCGAGCGCCCACCAGTACACATACTCCCATGTGCGAAGTGGAGTGCCCTGCCCATCCATCTGCCGACGCTCCCAGGGAAACATCACAGATTCAGTTGCTGGGGGCACCACAGGAGCACAACCTGGCTCAGTTTGGAGACAGCTATCTTTAGCAGGGGAATGCCATGACATATTTAGCAAAATCAGCTACTTGGGTTATCCATTCATAGGGCCAGGCTTGGTCACTATTGTCACAGCAACGACTGGCAGCAGTTGAATGCGGGCAAGGATTGTGGTGCAAGAGACTGAAGTACCCACTACATAAGGAGAAAGACTAACAGTAGCTTCTTAAACAATTCGAAAGGTCATTGTGGAATTTGGGGACAGCTGTTACAACCCATCAGATGGGCCAAACAAAAGAAACATTGGCTACATACATGGAATGCGCTGTGAGAATATCCATGACAAACAGCACCCATTGCAGCTTGTGGGCAGTAGCAGCAAAAGAATGGACATGAGACAATTATCATGCCAGGCTTCGGGGCCTGTTGGACAAATCCCTACAAACTGGTCTCTTAAGGGCCAAAATTCTTGTTGCTCAGATCGGACCGTGGATCTTGGCAGACCTGCAAGGAAGTTGCAATCTTCTGGGTGGCGAAGCTGGGTTAAACGCAGGAGGGATATTGTGCAGAGGCGCATTGGGAGCTGGCGCTGGATGATGCAAATCTAAACACTCCTATTTTGTCGCTCGCACCACAATGAGCAATTGAAAGATGGGGTTCTTTGCCACTGTGATTCAGTCTCCAAACATGGGACTAGGCATGGTCCATTGCAAAACAGTGTGCTGGAAGGACAACGTTACACAGTGCCACAAACAAGTGCTACTGTTCTCATGCACTGAATTTCATCCACACTGGAACAAGACCAGGATTTCGCAGGGTGTGGCGCCAAGATCGCTTGACACTGCACCCTGCCACCACAAAGGGCCACTCTTTGGCTCGTGGGGCCTTTGGAGAGAGTTCAAGAGTCTCAGAGAACGTTTTTTTGGAAGTGTGAAGCGAAGCAAGCCAAGACCAAGGCAAGGGTGTGGCGCTAAGTAAGGCTGGACAAATTCGCCGAATGGCGTGTGGGCGTATGGGAACCCAGTGTGCATTGATTCTCAAGACTAACGACATAGCGCAACAGAAAGAAGGCACAGCCAGCGACCCCGCCACGTCCTTTGACAGACAGCATTTTCAAACTCCCCAACTGCTCGTTCATTTTCCAATCCTGACGCTGCCAATGTCAATGTCCCCGGCCGACCGATCGCACCACCTGCAACCCAGCGCCCCGCACTCCTGTACCGCATCCCTCACCAATTCTGGCTCCCTCGATCCTGGTCTTCATGTCCAGTGTGGCCTTATCTTCTGCTCCCTCCTTGGACCCCGACGGCGGCGTAGGTGGGGCTCGACTGCCCGCGGCGACCCAAGATGTCGGCGTTTTGGAGTCCGCATGGTCGTCAAAGGGCAGCCGGCCCATCCAGCGGCGGCACGCCTCCCATGCCCCCTTCCCATCGCCAGCCAGTTCGCCGCGCTCCGCGACCGCCGCCTGCCTTGCCAGCCGCGCCAGACACCTCGCTCTGGAACGCAACATCCCCGCCTGGGATCGCGCCCACAGCGGTTTAACCTTAAACCTGACTAATAGCCACTTAATCGACGAAATTGGGGCGTTTCAGCGGGAGGAAAAAAAAACGACTGAGACCAGTACGGGTGCCGGCCATTTCGTCAAAAGACAACTCGTCTAACGGACAAGTGGTCTAAGGACATTACGTCTAATGGACAGCTTGTCTAAAATTCCGTTGACCTGAGTTGACTTGCTCATATCCGCATCGCACCTACAGCCGGTGACCCGAGGGCCCTCACCCGTTCAGCGCATTCCCCTAAACCCAAAAAACAACTCACTCACATCCACATTCCAGCTCAAGCCGGTGATCCGAGGGCCCTCACCAGTTCAGTTCATTCCCCTAGACCCAAAAGCCAACTCACTCGCATCCGCATTCCAGCTGAAGCTGGTGCACCAAAATGGTATGTCATATGGTCTTGTGGCGATAAAACAAAAACGACTGTTTGCGCATTGCGGTTCAGCTCTTTGTCCGGAGATCCACCTCCACACCTTGTAGAATCTCCGCTTTCTATAGCTGCCTATCGACGCCCCACGCTGCGCCAAACCGTGCCCCACCCGCCAGCCATGCGCCTGGAACGGTGCTCAGCCTCCCGTGCTGTCGCGCCCCCTGTGCGCGCGTCAGGAACGCGCCCAGGAACCAGTTCGGAATGCAGCCCCCCACAAACAGAATGAAATGTACTTGTAGGTTAAATGCACTGGTTAAACGAGTTGACTCAGCTCGTTTACAGACAACCCGTCTAACGCAAAGACAAAGTCAACGTTGCAACTGACTTCACCATAAGGCACTTGAACACACGCAACGACTTTGAAAACGAGTGGTGTTCAAAACAGAGAAGTTTGTGTCGTTGGTACACAACCAACCCGTGGCCGCGTTTAGGGTGGATCACTCGTTAGACGAGTTGTCCTTAGACCAAATGTCCTTAGACCACCTGTCCGTTAGACAAGTTGTCTTTAGACGAATGGGCCGGACACCGACCAGGACGCTGTGGCAGAAACAAATGTATCCCGGACGGAACTCCAAAAAGAACTCCCCAGGTCGCGCAAACAGCGGCTTAACCTGACTGGCAGCCTCTCAACCAACGAAATTGCGTCGTTTCTGCTGGGAAAAAAAAGCACCCGCCTGCGACCGGTACACTGTCGCAAAAACAAAAAAAACACACACGGAGGGAACTCCAAAAAGAAAGCTGGGAAAGTACTTAAGAAGGTCCCCGGGCATCCTTTACCGATGCATCGTATCTGGCACGTCCTGGGGTCGGCAACCGGGCCTGCCGCGCCGCGCCCGGCCCGTCCGCATGGCCCAGAAGCCGCCCGACCGGCCGGCCCTGCGCCGCCACAAGTGCTGCATGGGCGCCCTGTACTACAGCCAGGCTCTCATGGACAGCAGGATGGAGCCGGTGGGTGCCCCGGGGCGGATCCCTGCTCGCGTGCCCGCATCCATGGGGAGATGCGCGAGCGCCGGTTCACCGCGGGTGTCGTCTGGGCGGCGCGCAGGTGTGCGCCGGCATTCGGCAGACCCACAAGGGCGGGGAAGACCTGGGCGAGCTGCAGACGGAGGCGTCCAACCTCGTCGATTTCAAGGTTGGTGCGCGGTGGGCGCCGCGGTCCGCTTCCGGGCCGCTCCGACGCGGATGGTCGGGGCGGCGCTGGGATCGAATGCGGGGGCTGATGAGATGTCGTGGCGCCGACGCAGTACATGTGCGTGGGGTACTCGATCTACGACGAGGAGCGGATGAGGCGGCAGCCCTCGAGGGACGACCCGGCCAGCGGCGTGGACCTGCCCTATTGCGAGGGACTCGAGGTGAGGGACGTTGAAGGGGGTGGCTTGTGTTTTCGTAATGGCTGTCGCCGTGCCAGATGCGGGTGTCACCAAGGCCGGCAAGAGCCACTTGTCGTTTGATGTTTTCCTACGAAGTCCAGATGTGGAGATTTGTGGACGCGCGAGTCCGCAGATGGGCAGCTGTGTCAGTGACGTTCCGGGCCGCCCTTGATAACGGCGCGTGCCTTGGACTGGGAATGTTTGTGATCGCGAAAGCACACCAACGGCCCGCCTTGTCCTTGGCCACACATCAGCATTTGGGGCTGTTTGGCTGCGATTGGGAGCCCTGCACAGTGAGGAAAGCAGCACATGTGGAGAGCAACTGCGTCCATCATCACCTCATGGAGGCAGGGGCTGTAGATTGTCATAGCAGATCGTGGTCCCTGCAGTTGTTAACGCACACGACAAAGTACTGCCTGGCACCTGTTGGGAGATGTCACACATTGTCCACAGCTGCAAAAAAGCTCTCCTGGCTGCGCCAGGCGCCCAGCTGTGGGCAACGTCAATCTCCACAGCGACGCAGTGTTGTGCATTTGCTTGGCTGTTGTTGAGTGGGCAAACCTCGGCGATTTCTTGACTGGTGCTGCAGATAGTCTCGTCGCGAAATCTGCAAGGAAATCCTGTTCTCTTGAAAGAGGGAATTGAGGGCCCTGCAGGTGTGGTGGTGACGAAGGAAGTTTAAGTGGAAGGAACTTTCAAGGAACTTTGCAAGGAAGTTGAAGTGTGGATGCATTGGATCGAATCTGCCAGCACTCACAGTTATGAGGACACATGGCTTTCATGAGGGGCTCTGAGAAGTGGACATCCACAGCATGAGTTGTCTTTGCATGTGTTGGTGAACTGACGATAAGTTGTCGAGTTCAATGTTATGAGCAACCACAACACACTCGAACACAGAGCAGATAGACTGGGTGGGGATGATCCAGTCTCTGGTACGTTTCTAGGATTGTGGCATCCATTGTAATATACACAGAGAACAGGCTCTGTATTGCCACCAAGTAGAATGGCAGCTACCTTGTTATGCTTCTGACTTTTAGCCAATATGATTGTCTGTCCTGCCTGTATGACAGTGATAAGCGTGACACACGCATACTGCAATGTCATCAGGATCAGCCACTGCTCAGTCAATGCTGGCTTGCACAAAAGGCGTCCACAAATGTACACTTCTACGATTTCTGCATCGCATTTTTTAAGTACTGTTTGAAGATAGCCACTGCCCAACTTCTCAAAGTATCAACATCAGCATAACTTCCATAACATGATCTGCTCAGTTGCGGCAGAAACAGTAACGATGGCATGCCGTTTGCCAGTGACGTGTCTGTAGCACAAGCATTTCTAAAGGACGTTTCACTGTTTCCTGGCAGTATCTGAGCGCTTGGGGCAGAATCTAATGCAGTTGTTGCCTCTTTGGGCACATCCTTGTGCTGGCAGGTGCCCCTCCATCCACACAGGAGCCAGCGCCCAAAAGGAAGAATAGTTTCTTCCCTGGCAGCGGATCCACCTTTGGTGAGTGGGTTCGGTCAAGGGGGCTTGACATTGCACCTTGTAACTTAACAGCTTGTGCTTCGCTTACACGTACCATACTGTGCTGCAGTGTCTGAGCCTGGAGGAGTAAACTGGGGGAAGCTCCCTGAAAGGTAACCATTCAAGTGCACCAGACAAGGCTACTGTTCGTGTGCAATCAACCAAACCTGTTTCAAAGTTCCTGCTTTCGTATTCTTCGTGAAGGCCAGTTCTCCAATGGCATGACATGGGGTGCAAACGCATACTGTAGATGTGTATTGCCCGATTACCGCCTGAAAGTATTTACAGTGGCAATCGCTGAATGCCACCTGCACCTTCAGCAAATTTCAGCGTTCAGCACTTTTGGCAACCGTCTTGCCTGTGACTTTTCGAACAAGTGAAGGGTACAGATCCTGTGTGATGCCACGATTCCCTGGGAACTATAGTTCATGTTATGAGCAAACTGCGGGAGTCGGCGCTGTAGTGGTGCTGTTCGACATTCAGAGAGGCGTTCTCTGCTGCAGGTTCCAGAAATCTTCCTTTTTGATACTGCAGAAGATGCAGCAGAATGCCGGCTACTTGGCGACGTCCATGAAGCGGGTGATCGAGAGAATCAGTGACATTGGAAAAGGCTGACGACGGGGCAGAAAAGCACAACCAAGGGGGGCGACAGTTGCAGGGGCAAGGGGGACGTGGCCTGCATTTCCTCAGAGGTGCACAACGTTACCTTCTGTTCCGGGCATCTGCTACGACCTCCCCTTGGCAGCTCCAATTTTTTTGAGGCGGGACAGGGAGGGTCACTTGAGGGCCATATTGGTTTGTGGCGCATGCGCGCTGAAAGGGACACGTGAGAGAAGAGTGATGTTGTGGCCTGGTTTGAAAATTCGTTTGAGTGCGTTCTGAGGGCAGCGCCACTTGGCGAGGCTATAATGGGCGCCTGCAGGCGCTGCCTCCCTTCACGATCTTTGTTCTTCCCGAACCGTGTTGTGCAATTTGGAAGGGGCCGGTTTGGCAAGGGTATGTCATGGTGAAACCATCTCACCGACGTGCAGCAAACACGCAACAACACCGTAACTAACGCTATACATTCCCAGCTTCTGCTGTGTGATCAGGGTTTACAATCAGGGGCACCAGTGTGCATGTGTCTGTGCGTAGGTGCAGGGATGTGCCGCAATCTGTTGCCCGTTAAATTACCAGTGCTAAAATCAACAGCTCAGCTCATTTAATGTCGAGATCTATGGGCCAGCTGCGTGTCCTGGGGTGATGGTGGGGCGACTTTGTAAAGCTCGACTGCAATTTGCCACTGAGCTGAGACCCCCACCCCACCCCCGATTTTTTGGTGCCGTTCTTTGTTCCAGTCCCACATAGTAATCTATAGCCATACTTCTGTGCCGCATCGTAATGCGCTTTGATAGGGATAGATCAGAACGCTGACTTTGCACCCCATTGCCAGTGAGTCTCCTAGTAATCAGTGGTAGTCACCACGGGTGAACCATGTCGATGGACGACACACAAGTCGACAATAACCATTGCTTTGACTGCTGAGGTGCTGGAGTTTCTTTACCACCATTTGTTGACGCCTGCTTCAAGTTCACGCTCGAAGGATTTTGGCCAAACCAGCGGTGGCTTGTTCACCTACTCAGCTTGTGCCCGATAGGTGCCAATTTTACAGTTTCATAGCCTCAAATGTCCATACACCCCCCACCTACCACCCCACCCCATTATCGTCGAGCATGAGAAAATCGCGAATTAGCACCCTCTTGAAGGAAAGGCGGTTGATGCGATTCAAACCACTCCCATTTTGAGCGCACACAGGAAGCGCGAATCGACGATCGCCGATGCTTCAACGGCGTCGATACACGGCCACACACATATACAACTCGGGCATACATATTTGCTTGCCCGACTCAAGGTTCGAACGCGATTTCCTTGCCGGCATCAGCACCAAACACAACCAGATTTCTTGATCCTTTCCGCCACCCATCCACCTATTCGACTCCCAAGGACCGTCATCAATCACAAGTGCCCATACAACAATTCAGCCACATACCACATCATCACTGAGGTGTAGCCAACGTGTGAAACATGCCATAATCATGTGGTCATTTCCAAATGCCCCCACTGCCAAACGCAAGCACAACAATTTTTTTCAAGCCTAAGTGAAATAGAGGGCGGTCACAACGCTGTAATGTTTCAGGGAAAGAACATCCAAGACTACCCCACAAGACACCTTTGCATTTTGCGGACAAGACACGCAATTCTCTATAAACTGCATGGCATTTTTCATGGAGCGCATGTTGTCCCCAACAAACAAGAGTGTGATCGAGAACTACCTCAAGAACCGAATTAGGTCAAACAATTCTGGAATTGAATCAAGAAAGCGGCAGCAGGAGATTTTCGCAAAAACATCTTATCTTTTTGTCACAAACCGCCATTCTTCAAGCAAAGATTATGCATAGGCTGGGAAATCGCCAGCTCAATGACGGACCAGGAATAGTGTCATCTGGGTATGAGTAACTTTTGCATATTCATAACAGTATTTTTTCACAGCAGTGTTTTTTTGGCTCAACTCAAGCAACAAAAAAGTGTATATCAATGGCTAGCCATCAAGCGTAAGTGATCCACGCAGTGAAACGGTGGTCATTATGCGGCTAAGCGAACAACCCCTTATCTATGCCTGACAGCACATGTCCGCGTCAGTCCGGTTGCCCTCCAGGCGCAGACAACAGATGAGAGGATCTTGCTGGAAAGTGCTTCATGAACAAGGGCACCGTGTTGTGAGAACCGGAACTTGCTGCATGTTATCCATGCTGTGATTGGAGGCTTGTGCAGCGTGTCCGCAGCAGGGAAAAGACTCTTGCAATATCCTGCATAGGAGGAGGCACCGGCGCCATCGTGCAACCTGCTTTGGAAGCATGCTGTAGGATGGTAACAAGGGCGCACCCTTGGAATCCTTTTCCACAAATATTCACCAGAGCATCCAAGTCAGCACTTTTGGCAGTATTGCATCTGTGGAACGTTGCCATCCGTTGTTGGATTGTCGTTTGACTTCAGCAACTTGTGATCTGTTGCTGAAATTACCTGCTTGCAGTGGATAGTACACTTCACTATTCCGGGCTGTACCGTGCATGCGTCTTCACTCAGCATTGGTTCGTCAACAATGTGAAAGACTGCATGGAAACTACAGAAGTCATGGGTGTTCCATGAGGCCACAACTGCGAAAAATGCTGCCACATCACCTTCCACGTCATGCAGGTGGATGTGAGGCCACTGCGACCCTTGAGCTTGACAGACTGTTAAATCAATCCCCACACCAAACCCAAGCCCGAATCCCATACATTTTCCTCGCATCATTGGAAGCACAGACACGTCGATGGCGTTTGGAATGCAACTCGCGAATCGAGTTCCTGAATGCAGACCACAGCCATCCTGCAAATCGGAAGTCTCCCACAATAATCACCCAAAACAGGGCCAGGCCCACAATCCTGTTCCCTGGCCCTTCAGAGGCAATGAGCTCGCAACCACAGCTCAGCCCTCCAACCCAACACATGAAGAATGAAACAATCGCAATCGAGACCGAAAAGAGCCAACGCAACAATGTTCCAGAATGCCAGCAGAGCGACACCCTGGAGGCGCCCTCCCAGCACATTCCAAGTACAGGGCATCTGCCTCCGCCTCCCATCCAGGGTCCAAAAACACAACGCACAACACACCCAAATACACCTTGGGGTTGGGCTGCCCTTCCCCAGCGAGCCTCCACCCTCCCCCCAGCCACTCACTCCTTTCTCGAAGCAGCCTCGCTCCAAACGGATCCCGGGCATCGGCCCCAATCGACGGCTGCCTCAGTTCCTGTGCTCCTCTATCAGCTCTTTCAGCTTGTCGACCTTGGCCCCCGTCATCTGCGCGACCTTCCTGCCGCCTTTGTACAGGAAGAACGTCGGCGCCACGCGTATGCCCAGCTCCTTCCCCAGCGCCTTGTTCTCCTTCGTCATTCTGAACTTGACGATCCGCACGTCCTCGTACGCGCCGTCCAACTCCACCAGGTCGGGGTAGATCAGCTTGCAGGGCCCGCACCAGTCCGTGTAGAAGTCCACCACCACCAGCTTGTCCCCCTGGGCGCCCAAGAAGTCGTAATACTCCCCCTCCTCCAGCAGCCGCAGCTCCCCTGCCGCCGTGGCGACCTCCACTTCGGGCGACGCCGTCCGCAGCGCGATCTCCGCCCGCCTCGCCCTCAGGGGCGCCGGCCGTTGCCGCGCATCCCCGCGACACTTGGGCAGGCGCTCGCGCGCGCAGACAGCGCGGGCGTTGGCGTTGCCCAGCGGCCCTCGGGTCAGATCGCCGTGCCTGGCCGCCGAGATCACCTTGTCCATCGCGGTCGCGGTCGGAGGGCGAGGAGCGGGATAGGGGGAGGCAGGGGGGCGTGAGACGTGCTGGGAGTGGGGGAGGTAGGGGGCCCAGCGCCGCGCCGCGGGAATATGCGGACGGCGCTGGCCCAGCTGGCGGGGGCGCACCTGGCGCCTTTTTCTGCTGACCAGGCATTGCGCTTGCCACCGCCTGGACGGCTGTGCGATCCGACGCTGCGATCCGCTTTCGGTACGGTTTCGGCGCGACTGCGGAATAATGCGGGCGGAGCGCGGGATTGCTCGATGGCGTACATTGGGCAACCGCTCTCCCAGTCCTCCGCTTCAACGGGACGGGCGCCCAGCACGTTGCCCTTTGCAATGTTCTGCGGACTGTTCTGGGCAAAATTGTCATTACGAAGCCGTTGCGCCCTGCATGCAGTGGCCTTGCTCATTGTGGGACCAATATTTCTGCTTGCGGGATCCTCTTGCCGCCCACGCTGGCCAAAAGGACTACAAGAATTCACCTCAGTGTACCGGCCCACAATATCCGCCGTCAAACTCAGCTTGCACTTCGCAATACACATCAAGCCAATAAATCCCCGGTACTTTAAACTGCACGTATCCGTCAATCGAAATCAACATCAAAGGGATGAGCGGGCTACTGCAAAACAAGAGTAGTTGCCGTCTTTAAGCACCCCTTAAGTAGGGAAGCTGCCTGCCGATCTAGGAAGACCGCGGTGGCGCCCCCTTCAAACGGAAGCCTTGGATCTGTCTGAAACCCGTGCCGATATTCCAGCAAACCCCTTGACCCGCGTTCAAGAACAGGCCGTGGACCAGAGGTCCAAGCTGCCAAGAAACGGAGAAGCCAGAGACGTGTTGTGGCCGCCGGTACTATTCAGGATGCCTGGCGCATCCAAAGCGCCTACGCGATGGGTGACGTGGCATGCGTTAATAGTCAGAAATTTATTAACTGATCGTTGACCAAATCACCACAATCAATGAAGCATTGTTCCTTGCGGTGCTTCATTGAACGCCGCGATTAACACCGCAGTGCTATTAATCAACAGTGAACTCCACCCGTGGTGGTCAACAAATGTGAAGGCGAGGAACTATCCCACATGCATTAGGCCAAAAGCGTCCGGTGGTTGCATCATCTGTCAGTTTGATTGCACCTGCAAGGATAGACAAAGTACACCCCTTACAGCTGACAGGCGACTACAGGCGTAATTCCACACACGTATGTATGCAATATATTGTGCGTAATCATTTATTGCGATGGCCTAACCAATCAAA